GCTAAAACATGCGCAGCAGAAACAAGCATACAATTCAGGCATCACATACATGTAAACTAGAAAATATTATAACTATGAGATTAGAACAACTAACCTCTTGAAAACGTTGCACAGGTCCTCCTCAGAGTAAGAATCCAGGGCTGCAGTCTTCTGCTATGATCCTAGTAAAACCTTGGACGAAATTGCTTTGAGTGGGCAAGAACAATAAAACTCTTAAAATCAGTTATTGGGTGAAAAAACGTCCTCCTTATGTAGACTCGTTTTTCAGCCAAAAGAGGGCTCCCAAAAACGTGTAGGATTCTGCTTGTGCAAGTAGAATCCTACTCTAAACTCTCAAGGATGACTTTTCTCCCAAGTCACTTTTTACTCAAGTCAGTCCAGATTTTTACTAGGTATAGTAGGGACCACAGAAATAAAAGGAGGCTACCAATTATAGCATTAATTCGAAATTTTGGATGAATTAATTCTTACTATAATTAATTGCAGTTTATTCCACTAAAAACTGCAATTGAACTCCTCAATATGAATTTCAAAAATTCATTAACACTTATTTGAACTCCTCGTGTTAAGATCACAAAAGCCAGTTAATTAAATTAAATCACTGTCAAATTTAATTTAATCAACTAATTAAATCTTTTATAATTCCGCTTAAACTATTTCATGTGACGGATACAAAATCTATCGGCCAGGTTTACACATGAAAACTTATAAGCTTACATAAAGGGGTATCATCAAACTCAAAACCGAGTCATGGATTCTATCAACTAATTATTATTTCACAAATATTATTCGTTATTGTCCAATTTATTAGGCATATACTAACTCTAAATAGAGTTGTACCTTTTGATCAATCAAAATAATAAATAAATCACATTGATCATAATAATTATATCAAGATTAGGAGTATAATCTCATTTAATGAATTAGAGAAAATATTTTTTATATATATTTAATACAAAAATATATTTTCTCTACTTGGTCCATTCAATATACACTAAGTATACTAGCACAAGAAGTCGGAGTAAAACCACTCCCATAATCAAGGTAAATTATACTTTAATCTTGTGCTACAATCATCAAGATATTTTACCCAATAATATTTTCGATTGTGAACATTATTTATTAATTATGAGAACCGATAATTCAATCTTCTGTGCATGTGCTAAGACTCCATATACTAAATTATCTACTACATAACTAAAGGACAGTATTTAAAATAGTACTTTATTGAATTGAATAAATCAAATAAACAATTATTCCATAAAGAATAAAATACAATACTATGTCTAAACCGCATGGTTAATAGTATATCCTAACAATCTCCCACTTAGACTCATAACTATGCGTCTACAACTCTAATACACATTCCTTCTGCATGCTTGTCAAAAATCTTCTGTGGCAAGCTCTTGGTAAACGGGTCTGCCAAATTGTCCTCTGACGCAATCTTCAACACTCTTGCGTCACCCCTCTGAGTTATGTCCCGAATTAAATGATATTTACACTCAATATACTTACTTATTTTATGGCTTCTTGGTTCCTTCGAGTTTGCAACTTCGCCGCTATTGTCACAATAAAGTACAATTGGTGCTTGAATCGAAGGAACTACATTAAGCTCTTTTAGAAAGTTCCCGAGCCAAACAGCCCTTTAGCTGCCTCAGATGCAGCCACATATTTGGCTTCCATAGTGGAATCAGCAACACATGATTGCTTGATACTCCTCCAACTTATGGCTCCAAGGTAAAAACATATCCTGAGGTAGATTTTCTAGAATCTCTATCTGACTGGAAATTTGAATCAGTATAGCCAATGGGTACAAGATCACCTGAGTGATAAACCAACATATAATCCATAGTCCTTTTCAGGTACTTGATTATATGTTTAACGGCAGTCCAGTGTTCTCGTCCAGGATTAGACTGAAATCTACTAACCATGCCAACAACAAAGCAGATATCAGGTCTAGTACATAGCATAGCATACATGAGACTCCCTACAACAGAAGCATAAGGGACCGCCTTCATCTTTTCTATCTCACCAGTCGCTTTTGGGGACTGGTCTTTTGACAGAGAGATTCCTATGTCTAAAAGGGAGAAAACCTTTCTTGGAATCTTGCATGCTAAACCTGGTGAGAATAGTATCAATATAAAGTGCTTGGGATAAGCCTAATATCCTTCGCTTGCGATCTCACATAAGCTTGATCCCAAGAATATGTGCCGCTTGTCCCAAGTCTATAATATCAAAATGCGAGGACACCCATTCCTTTACTGAATTCAACATGCTCACATTATTTCCTATGAGCAAAATATCATCTACGTACAAAACCAAAAATGTCTTTATCTCCATCACATTTCTTATAGACACAAGACTCGTTTTCACATTGATCAAAATCGAAGGTTTTAATCGATGTATCAAAACAAGTATTCCATGCTCTAGAAGCTTGTTTCAATCCATAAATGGATTTTTTTAATTTACACAACATGCGCTCATTGCCACTTTTTATTAAACCAACTGGTTGTGCCATATAGATGCACTCATCAAGACTTCCATTAAGAAAAGTTGTCTTGACATCCATTTGCCAAATCTCATAATCGTAATGAGCAGCAATGGATAAAAGAATCCTAATGGATTTATGCATGGCTACTGGCGAAATATTTTTATCATAATCGATTCCTTCTTTTTGAGTAAACCCTTTTGCAACAAGCCTAGCTTTAAAAGTTTGCACTTTTCCATCCACTCCTCTCTTTTTCTTATAGATCCATCTACAACCAATGGGTTTGACTCCAGTATGTGGTTCTACAAGATCCCACACTTGATTGGAGTACATGGACTCCAATTCAGATTTCATAGTAGCAACCCATTTATCAGCATCTGTATCCTGTAGTGTTTCATCGTAATTAAGAGGTTCTGTATTAGGCTCTTCAGGGATTCTATCATAACATTCTCCCAAGAGTGCAAACCGGAGAGGTTTTTTAATAATTCTCCCACTACGACTAGTCACTACAGGTGCAGTTGGATTTTGTTGTTGAATCACAACATCATTTTCCGGAACTGAAGCCCCAATGTTATCCTCCAAACCTTGTGGTGCTGGGATATCATTAACTTCTTCCTGAAGTGAAGGTTGCACAACAATTTCAGTTTGCTCAACAATCTGAGGTTGCTCAATATTACTTCCACTACTTTGGGGGAGTGAGATGTCAGGCAATTGTTCTTGTGTGTTCTGCTACCTATTGACATTTCTCCCACTATGATAATGCAGTGGTATGTCAATACTAGCTTCCAGGATACGTTCCAGAGATGAGTCATTAGTTATCCCATTTACTTAATTCTTGTAAAACTAGTTTACTTCTAGGAATATGGTTCATTAAATAGTCCTCTTCTAAACATCTGGCATTTGTCGTTACCATTCCTTTCTTTTCTTTGGGACAATAAAATAAACCTCCTTTAGTTCCTTTTGGATATCCAATAAAAATACATACTTCTGTCCTCGATTTCAATTTATCCGCTTTCCCTTTCAGCACATGTGCTGAACAACCCCAAACCCGAATATGCCGTAAACTTGGCTTGCGCCCAGTCCATAATTCTGCTGGGGTTAAAGGTACTGACTTAGAAAGAACCAAATTTAGAATGTAATTTATTGTTTCTAAGGCATATCCTCAAAAGGAAAAAAGGCAAATCAGAATAACTTAACATTGATCTAACCATTTCCAAAAAGGGTTCTATTTCTTCTTTCTGCCACACCATTTTGTTGTGGTGTTCCTGGGGTAGATAATTGAGATGTAATTCCATAATATGATAAGTATTTAATGAATTCCGTAGAAAGGTACTCACCACCACGATCAGTTCGCAATGTTTTGATATATTTATCATGTTGTTTCTCCGTTTCCGTCTTAAATTATTTGAATTTCTCAAAGCATTCAGACTTACGGTGCAACAGATAAATGTATCCATATTTTGAATAATTATCGGGGAAAGTCACAAAATACTCAAAATCACCTCTTGCTTGTATATTCATAGGGCCACACAAATCAGAGTGAATTAATTCTAACTTATCGCTGGCTCTATTTCCTTTTGAGGGAAAATGTCTCTTGGTCATTTTACATTCTAAACAGGATTCACATGTAGAAAGTTCTTTCACTTTCAATGAACTCAAAGGTCCATCGGAGACCAATATCAAAATCCTATTTAAATTTATATGACCTAGACGTAAGTGTCACAAATAAGTTTGGCTCAATTCAGAAATACGTTTTCTTTTATGTGGCAGATTAATATTATTTAATTCTTTTGGTTGTAGGATATGATGAGATATACCAAGAATAAAAAGGTCATATACTCTAGCAGCAGTGTAGATAAATTGTTTATTAAACTTAAATAACAACAGAGTTATTAGCAAAATAAACATTATAACCAGCATCCATTATTTTCGAAACCGAAATCAAATTCCTTTTAATAGAAGGTACATAGAGAACATCTTTCAAAACTAAAACTCTATCACTACTAAACGAAACTCTAATATCTCCTAATGCTAAAGTTGGTGCTAACTCACCATTGGCTTGAAAAATGTAAACTTCATTCTCACTTAGCCACCGCGTTTCCTGAAACCCATGCAAAGTAGTACAAATATGATTAGTGGTTCCTGAATCTACTCACCAAAATTTGCTAGAGACAGCCGCTAAACAAGTTTCAATGACATTTAAATTCGAATTACCTTGCTTATTCAACTTTGCCAGATAGGCAGGGCATTATTTTTTGTGATGCTTAGGTTGCTTGCAATGATAGCACTTTCCTTTGGGCTTTTTCACATCAGCCGCACCTCTAGGTGCCAAAACCTTTTGAGCCTTCTTCTTTTTCTTACCGCCTTTCGACTTAGAAACCGAAGCTTTTTCAACATTATGTGCCACAACTGGAGCTTGCTATTTGATAATAGATTCTACCGCTTGCAGCTCATTCAACAATTTTGCCAGTGACAAATCCATTTTGTTCATATTATAGTTCAAGCAAAATTATTAAAAATTGTCAGGCAGAATCTGCAGGACCATCTCAACTTTATATTCCTTATCAATCAAAGCTCCAAGGACCTCCAATCCATTCAGAAGACCCATCATCTTCAGAACATGGTCCCTGACCGATGATCCTTCAGCTATCTTGGTGTTCAAAAGGGCTTTCATGTCTGTCTGCTTAGCTGCATGATTTTTCTCACCGAACATCTCTTTGAGACTTTCGAGCATGTCATAAGCAGACCCTATAGACTGATGCTGATGTTGCAAAACATTCACCATGCAGGCAAGAATGTAACATCGCGCCATCTTATTAACCTTGACCCACTTGTCATAGGCCTTAACCTGATCATCAGTAGCATCTTTATCAGATTTTTCTGGGCACTCCTCAATGATTACAAATTTGTAACCTTTAGCAGTTAGGACAATATCAAGGTTCCTTTTTCAGTCAACATAATTCGATCCTTCTAACTTGTTTTGGTTCAAGATTGAGGAAAGTGGGTTCAATGAAGACATGGTTAATCTGAGAGATATTCACATTAAATAGATCATTAGTTATGTAATTAGAATAATTAAATTTAAAATAGCACATTACACAATTAACCATGCTCATTGAACAGTTAGATTCGTTAGGGAAACTTAACTACTCATGCAAAATATATGAGTTATGTAAAATATTTACCCCATAAATTAAAATAGGACCAACTCAGATGGAGAGTAAACTGTTAATTTAAGATAGGTAAATATCGCTTTTATAAACTCTAGTTTCATTGAATAAGAATGTAACTCAGTTGGAGAATTAATACAAGTAATCAAATAATTAGAGGCAAAACTACAGTAATGATCTATAATGAACATATCCAATGTGGAAGAAGACCTATGTCAACATATAAATTCATTATATTACTCTAAAAAATGATTGAAAATAATGAAAATTGAACCCTACCATCACCGTTTTCTTTAAAAAAAAAAATTATTAAAACAATTTTCAGAAAATAGAAAAATGGCCAAAAACTCATCTAAACGACTCTAAATGCCCAAATACGATGTACGTCATGAGCAAAGCTGATGAGTATTGCTCACTGGGTCATTTCCAACGAACCTACCAAATTTGAGGTCAATCGGAGTTTGACAGAATTTCAGAATTGCAAATTTATGACCTATTTGCAAATTCTGTTTTTGGCATTTTTAGGGATTTGATTATTTTGACGCACTCATATCACATAATATACTTATGTATGTTAATCCATGATTTCAGAACTCAAAATAATATTATTATAATTATTACAGAGTCATTTTTATATATATAAAAACTATTTTCGAACAAATATGGGGAAAAAGCACTATTTTAACCCGTTCAAAATACCATTGTTCATACTTACGTATATTAATCCATAATTTTAGAACTAATAGTATTCAAAACAGTCACGTTTTTATTAAAACAACACTGTTATTATGAAAAAACTAAACAAAAACAGATTGTCATGAAATATAACACCACTATTTATGCATATGTATATTAATCCATAATTTCAGAATTAAATATACTAAGTAAAATAGTCACGTTTTTGACACAGAATAACCATACAAAACAACATTGTATTATGTATGCTAATCTATTATTTTCATAGAATAAACATACCAAACATGTATCATTTAACAACACGTTTTAATATTACTCTATTCATATTGTATTATATTATCTAATTAGATGTAAGATGACATTTGATACCAATTGCTAAAACATGCGTAGCGGAAGAAAGCATACAATCCAGACATCACATACAAGTAAACTAGACAATGATATAATTAGAGATTAGAACTACTAACCTCTTGAAAATGTTGCACAGGTCCTCCTCAGAGCAAGAATCCAGGGCTGCAGTCTTCTGCTATGGTCCTAGTAAGACCTTGGACAAAATTGCTTTTAGTAGGCAAGAGCAATACAACTCTTAAAATCGGTTATTGGGTGAAAAAACGTCTTCCTTATGTAGACTTGTTTTTCAGCCAAAAGAGGGCTCCCAAAAATGTGTAGGATTCTGCTTGTGCAAGTAGAACCCTACTCTAACTCTCAATGATGACTTTTCTCCCAAGTCACTTTTTACCCAAGTCAGTCCAAATTTTTACTAGGTATAGTAGGAACCACATAAACAATAAGAGGCTACCAATTATAGCATTAATTTAAAATTTTGGATGAATTAATTCTTACTATAATTAATTACAGTTTATTCCACTAAAAAACTATAATTGAACTCCTCAATATGAATTTCGAAAATTCACTAATACTTATTTTAACTCCCCATGTTAAGATCATAAATACCAGTTAATTATATTAAATCATTGATAATTTAATTTAATCAACTAATTAATCTTTTATAATTTCGCTTAACTATTTCATATGACGGATACAAAATTCACTGTCCGGGTTTTCACATGAAAACTTATAAGCTTACATAAAGGGGTATCATCAAACTCAAAATCAAGTCATGAATTCTATCAACTAATTATTATTTCACAAATGCTATTCGTTATTGTCCAATCTATTAGGTATACACTGACTCTGAATAGAGTTGTACCTTTTGATAAATCAAAACAATAAACAAATCACATTGATCATAATAATTATATCAAGATTAGGAGTAGAAGATCATTTAATGAATTAAAAAAAATATTTTATAAATATATATTCAGTACAAAAACATCTTTTCTCTACTTGGTCCGTTCAATATACACTAAGTATACTAGCACAAGAAGTCGGAGTAAAACTACTCCCATAATCAAGACAAATTATACTTTAATCTTGTGCTACAATCATCAAGATATTTTGCCCAATAATATCTTCGATTATGAACATTATTTATTAATTATGAGAACCAATAATTTAATCTTTTGTGCATGAGCTAAGACTCCATACACTAAATTATCTACTACATAACTAAATGACACACATATAACAAATGATCTATTTAAAATAGTACTTTATTGAATTGAATAAATCAAATAAACAATTATTCCATAAAGAATAAAACACAATACTATATCTAAACCGCATGATTAATAGTATATCCTAACACTTTAATATATAGCTATTAACAGTACAATAATAGTTCCTAGCTAAAAGGAGGGAGCGGTGAGCCTGTCTAAGCCTAACGCATTAATTCATGGTAATTCTGTTGGTTGGACTGCATTAGGTTTAGAAGCCAAATTATGTTAATTACTTACAGTGCTAGTAAGTGGTATGATAAGAATTAATATGATTGGCACGCATTGGGAGAGCACGTGAGGCTGAGAATCCATTATTTGGGTGAATGATTTTATCGTACGCCACCTACTAAGACTCCACCTGTCATGCAACAAATATGATTGAGTTCTATGCGCAAACCACACTTTTCTGGTCCTCTCCCCATTATAAATACTTGTCTCTCCCCTTTTGCATGAAATTGTGGAATTTTAGCTATATATAAAGAGAAGAGAGAGAGCAAAAGGGGTTCTCAAGAGACCCTTAAGCCTTCTTCATTCAACAAAAGAACAAAAAGAAAAGTTAAACTTCCTTGCTTATATAATCTAACTTAACAGTCGAAATGGCCATATTTGACCTCCACCATCCATGGCTATTTGTGTTCGGAGTCTTAGGTAAGCAAAACTATGTTTCACATGTCTGTTTCATTCATTTCTAGTCTTTCCCAAATTTCATCTCATTCATTCTCTTTCATTTCTTGCTTGCTCAAAATATTGTGCAAAAACACCTTGCTCAATTTTCCTGTGACCAAACATTACTTAATTAATACTATAATTTTCACATTGCCAATTGCATGTTCTCATGAACGTTTTCCATGACAAACCTTCCCGGTGCTTGATTTTCATCCATTTTGGTTGACAACACTTGCAGTTTATTTCATCGACCAATTAAGTTGTCTAGTTCATGGCAGTAGCATCACATCCACCCACATGTATAATGAAAGCACTAACCCTTTGTATTTCTTCTGCTTTATGTTTCAGGAAACATTATTTCCATATTCGTCTTCTTAGCTCCAGTGTAAGAAATCCGCTTTGTTTTTTTTTTTTTTTTTTTCTAATTTAGTTTTCTTGGACAGTCACTTATTTTGAAAATTTTCACGAAAACAACTGTATTAATGTTGCAGGCCAACCTTTCGCCGAATCTACAAAGAAAAATCAACCATGGGTTTTCAATCAGTCCCCTACGTGGTAGCACTGTTTTCATCCATGCTCTGGATGTATTATGCATTTATCAAGAAAAATGCCACTCTCCTCATCTCTATCAACTCCTTCGGTTGCATTGTCGAGACCATTTACATCTCCATTTTCCTTCTCTACGCATCCAAGGAGGCTAGGGTAAGTACTTCCCACCATAACTTACATTTAAAAATCTAAAAGATTTATATCCTTTTTTACCAAACTTCTAAAATCTGATGAGAATTGCTTTTATCAAAAGTGCTTTTCAAAAAAATACTTTTGATGAGAATCGGTTTGTGTTTGGCTAATTAATTTGAAAAATACTTTTGAGCAGTAATTAGTGTTTGATCAAACTTTTGAAAACTACTTTTAAGTGTATTTTTTCTCAAAAGTGCCTCTCAAAAAAGTGCTTTCGGAGAGAAACTACATTTTTCTGCTTCTCAAAATATGCTTCCGCTTCTCCTCAAAAGCTTTTTATTTTATTTTAAAAGTTTGGCCAAACATCTCAACTTTTGGTCAAAAAAGTACTTTTGGCCCCCAAAAGCACTTTTGACCCTAAAAAAAGCTGCCTAATAAGCTATTAGTGGGCATTGGGACATAAGAATTGTAAAATTCAAATTTTTTTAAAGTTAAAATGGTATTTGAAAATTAGAATTGGGTTTGGACATGAATACAATTTTAGGTTATTTTTGAATTTTTGTGAGTGATCTGAAGTGAAAATTTTGAAAAACTGTTTTTTGGAGTTTTTTAAATTTCTGAAAAATTCTAAAATTCATTTTCAAGTGAAAATTAAAAATTTTATGCCAAACGTTGATTTCGGGAAAAAGTGAATTTTTTTCGATTTTTAATGGCCAAACGGGCCCTTAATAAATGAAAAAAGTTTCACCAAGATATAAATAGTAGTGCAGTTCAATTCTGTATTGCAGTCGGGCAGTTTTTTATTTTTTTCAAAATCTTGTTAAAGACTAGGAAAGTAAGAAAGTATAACATAGACTGCTAACTAGTTTGATATTTTGACGACAGAGGCAGACGGTGAAACTTTTGGTATCATTGATTGGAGGATTGTACACACTGATATTTCTCGTCACTTTGTTCCCTTTGAATGGAGCCCTTCGAGTACAAGTAGTGGGTTGGATTTGTGTAGCCGTAGCAGTGGCTGTCTTTGCTGCACCTCTTAGCATTGTAGTAAGATAGAGATGATGCACTAACATCGTTTCAAAAGTTTTCCCAGTAACTAATAAAATGAAAAAGAACTTTCTAACTCTTGTTTCTTTTTTAATTTACAGTGTCAAGTGGTTCGGACGAAGAGTGTGGAGTTCCTGCCCTTCACCCTGTCTTTCTTTCTTACATTGAGTGCTATCATGTGGTTTGGTTATGGTCTCCTTCAAAAGGACCTGTGTATTGCAGTAAGTACTTATTAAACCACATGCTAAAGTACTATGTATTCTTTAATACATTTGAACAATTAATTTTGGGTTACGTGCTGGTTAGACAACTAAAACCGACCTACTTACAAAGGCAATAAAAAAGAACCACAAATCTTGATCATGAACATGTTGTGCCTTTATGGTTTACAAATCGATATACAACATTAATTGTTCGACATAAATTGGTCACTGCAGAATTCAGCCAAACTAAAAAATTTCGTCGTATAATTCCATTTTGTCTGACATTTTTTCTTTAATTACTCCTATGATTTTTAAGCATTTTTTTGATATCACTGATTCCAAAATTATTTGTTTATCGCACTAGTTGGAGTACTAGTAATTTGTTTTTATATAAAAAAATATGCCGTCGTTACTTGTAAGTACTATTTTCTTTTACTTCTCATAAAACTAAGTTTGTCTGAATTTTCTCCAAAAGCTCCTCAAAAAAAATTTCTTTTAACAAATGATAATGAGGCATACTTTCTCATTATATGTATTTCCTCAATCCTAATTTGTGTCTCATCTGTAAAAGAAAATTATAATTCATTATTTAAAAATAATTTAACTTTAAATTTGCTATTTTACCCTCGATAAGATGATTTATAGCCACGCAAATATTTTATGACTTGTTTTAGCTGATAAATTTCAAAAAATCTTCTTTTTAATTTCATTCGTAAATAGTGCGGCATAAGTTTGAATGGGTGGGGTAAAATACCGTTGCTCTTCGAAGTCCGTCATATATTTTTAACTTTGTACAGCTGCCAAATGTATTGGGTTTCTTCCTGGGAATGATTCAGATGCTGTTGTATGGGCTATACCGTAACGTAAAGCCAGCAGCAGAATTAGAGAAAAAGGTGCCGGAGCATGTAGTAAACATCGTCGTCCTTGGAAACTCAGAACAGATACATCCTGTCAAATCCGAGAAAAATGAGGATATGATCAAGAAGCTGGATGAAGAAGTATTAGCTGCAGAAGAAAACAGGGAGAGCAGCGTAATTAGCCCACCGGTGGCAAACGACCATGAGAATGAAGAACGTGCGGGTGGCGAGCTGGCGCAAGTTAACTTGCAGCCGCAGCAGCAGTTTGAAACACCGGTGCTTGTGGTGTGTGCTGCAGCTTGAGTCTTGAATTAATCCGTTGATTATTTAACTGTTCTACTGTCTATCTGCATGTATGTTTCATTATATTGCTTTTTTCATTTATTTGTAATTCATATATTTCTCGCTACCACCTCTGATTTCCATTTCTCTGTATAAAGAGGAAAAGAGAAATTGTACGAATCGAAAGGCCGTTATATTATTTACATTCCATTCCTAATTCCACTATTTTTGTTTCTAATCTAGCGCTACAATAGAGGTTTATTTACCCTTAAAATCGGATAACAATTAAATTTGTAAGTGGTTTTAAGGATATGCAGATTTATTTGACACAAAGCAGTAAATAAAGACAAATTAAATAAATAAGGATGAAGTAAGCTCAAACCGCACGAGGAAGATGATTTAAGCCTTAGTGAAATATTTGCCCTCGATCTGGGCTCGTAACGACAAGCACTGACGAACGAAAGCAAGAGAACTAATAACAGAAAAAATAATGATATATTGCATTGGAATGTGTGTTACAATGTCCTTTATGAATTATCAGACCCCTTTATATAGTAGAGAAGTCCTACATTAGGTACAGTTCTATAAAAGGTAAAAACCTTTTGATTTACTGATTGCTGGTTCTTTATCGGTACGTGTCGAGATTTCCGCCGTAATATCCGGCCGGTCACGGATATTTCGGTCTTCCGTTGGCTATCCTGACAATATTTCTTCAAAGTCGATTGAGGTTAGGACCGATTCCGGGATCATGGCCTCGATATTCTCGAAGGCAGACGTTCTGTCTCCGGGTTCTAGCCCGGTGAGACTTGGGGTCGATATTCGGTCCTTTATTGTCATGTCTCGAGTCCGTCTTACCATGTTGGAGGCTAGGATGCACCACGAGCTCGATTTTAACCGTATAAAGATAGTCCTCTCATTTTTCGGAGTGTAGAAGACGAGAAACGACATGAGCTTCTGATTCTTACTTCGATACACCGTGACAGAAACAACAAAACAACCGAAACGTCTCGTCAGTCAAGTCTTGATGATATTAAATGCATGTCAGCCGCCATTCGGCCATTCTTGAATGTGAACCGTCGCTGAAATACTATAAATACCTCTTCCTTTGTTCATTTTAACTTTACATCCAAACCTTCTACCCTCGTACCCTTAAGATTTCAATACTTTCTAGCACTTTCACTCCGGTTATCTGAGATCCTTTGCAAGAACTCTTGTTTATATTCATCTCAAGCCAACAACTACAATCCTTCAACTTCCTTTCTTTCTCCATTTTCCTCTATTTTTTAAAGAAATGGCAAAGACTTTCAAAACCGTTCCCCCAAAAGAAACCCCTCTACTTCGCGGCCGGCTACTGAGGCCGAGGAGAGAACCAGTACCGGAACCCCCTTTGAAAATGTTCATCCCAGATGATGCTTGGTCAATGCCGATTTCAAGGTTGAAAAACCTTCCTCCGCACAAGGCCGGTGTGAGGAGATCTCGAGATACATCTGCTCTATCACTGAAGAAGTCCTCCCTACGGTCCGAAAAGACTGCAACTGGGCCGATAAAGGCATAGTGATCTCTGACCCCGATATAGCCATTACCACCCATGTCGAGGGATACCAAAGTGTTTACACTTATCCCTTTACGTTGGGCCCGATGGACCTGGTCATCATAGATTTCTGTAAGAGGTACGAGTTATGCCTC